TTCATTAATTTATCATTTTCCTAAGTCGATATATATATATGCGAAACAAAATATTTTGCAGTCATTTTTATACATATGGTAATAATGACATATCATCTATAGAAACTTGTTATTTATTATCTTTGTTGTTTCTGTGAAAGACAGTAGCAATAGCATGAATACATCTAGAGTTTTTATCTACACTATGATCCCTACCTATTACTACAATATGAGTTTGAAAGGAAATTATCAATCGGATATGTTCCCTCATAAGCAATGAAAAGATAAATTTTATTTTACATTTTCTTTTTTTCAAAAATTTCTTTACAATTTGAAATTGGAGACTATAATCGAATTTTTTTTTTCTATATAAATATTCATTTTACATTGGAAATGATTTTTACATAACAATATTCTTCTCATTAATACTGATAAATAAATATGCATAAAATTAAGGGAAAACAAACTAATTTCTAATACTAGAAATAACGTGAACTTAGTTTGTGTCCATATATGGTATAGAATTGAAATTGTTCTATCAATGCTTAAATATCTTGTATTATAAAAATAATTATTTTATTAAATAAAATAAATTTATTTCATAGATTATATCTTTTTACACATAATCATATTAATTTCTTTGTAAACATTGTTTCTTTACAACAATACACAAAAAAACAACAAAAAAAAATATATTTTTCTCTTTTACTTCTAATATAATAATAATCAATCTATTATTGCAAAAGGAAAATAATCTTTACAAGATTTTGAATATTCGACTTTTCCAAACATAGATAGTTCATTTACTTTGGTACAATTAATTCGTGTATCATCTCTTGTAAAATTATGTGTTACTCTTTCTAATGGTTCATAATAGACATCAAGAAGAATATTATTTTGAAAATATGTTTTCGTATTACATAGAAATTCTTCAATATAATCATCATGAGCTCGATCTATATGAAGTTCAATAAGATAATTATATTTAGCAATTGATAAATTCGATTTATCATTCATTAGTTCATAAGATCCTTTCTGATTTTGTGCATAACGATTATTGATAGTTAATTTTCCCATAAATGGAAATGATTGAGTAATTCGAATAAAAAATTCATGTTCAAAAGGATATTCATCATATAATGATACAATACGAACATATCCATATAAACCACCTGGAAAATTATTTGTTATATATTCGTAACGTCGCATTAAAGATGGATATGAATAAATATGACATAGACCCTCTTTATATGGCTCTAGAAAATAATCAACACAACATATTATTTTAGTATATTGAAAATCATTGAATGTTTGTTGAATGTCTTCTTTCGATGGTAAATTCATTTCATTTTTAATAAACATACGAGAACGAATATCAAATGTAAATTGTTTTAATTGTGACATATAATTGAGAATATATTTCTTCAAATTATTTCCATCAATAAATGTTTCCTTAACAGAGATTGTGAAATCTAAACTAAGTTCTTCTAAATTTGACATTCGATAAATAAGTGGAAGAATTAATTCATCGTAACACGACGTTGTCATTAGACAAGACAAAACAAAACACTTAAGATTTGGAATTTTTCTCTAGAAAAACAAAAACAAAATCAAATTTATTTTCTTGTAAAACTAACTTGATTTTCAATTTCTTCTAATGGATGAAAAATGTTAGCCATTTCAATATAAACTGTATGAAGTTGATCGAAACGACCATCAAGAATATAAAGACACATATCAAAAGTTTGAACTTTGATATTTAATACCAAAAGAGATGAAGAAGAAAAACTAGAAGATGGAATATTAAATAATAATCGAGCATTATTTATATATGAGGCATCATGAAATATTAAATGAGTTAAATTGATAAATACAGTAAAGATATAATTACATATGTTTTTCATTGTATACAATTCCATTTTATTTGAATCAATTGAAATAATAAGTTTTGTAATTTGATTTTTAAAAATAGAAGATAAAAGTCTTTCATCTAAACACATAAATAATATTAAACAATATAATTAACTTTTCATATAATCATTATATGAAAAGATTAAGAAAAATAGTCAAATGACTAAGATAATCTTTGATAGAAAGAACTAATATATCTCATTTAAACGTAGTCCATAATAAATTTATTATGGAATAATGATGATTATTTTTTTTTAATATTATTTTGTATTAATTAAAAATATTTTCTGTTTTATTTTTCTTTTACAATTTCATAGTTAAACATAAATTATGAAATGAATTTTATTTAATATATATTCAATGTTCTATTTATCTATATTAATAATTTCAAAGTATACATATCTTTACTTTGATTAGAATTAATACAATTGCATTTAGATTTCCTTACCAGTAAAAAGGCATTTAGCTGTCTCTTCTTCGATATTATATAGGCCAAGTGTATATAAATTAGGACAATCAGTAGCATGTAAAATATTTTTCATAGTTTCAGATTCAAGATCTAGCCATTTGATTTTCGTATGAATTTTAGGTAAAATTTGTAAACAAAATTTATTAAGTATCATATCAGAAGAAAATTTATTAATACATTTATTGAATGACCATTTGAGAAAGCTTAAACGACTTGTAAATATTGGATCATATATAATTTTATTCAATCGTTCATTGATTCCTTGACAAGAATAAAGTGCTTCAAGATTGTCAAGTTTTTTGAAAATAATTAGAAGAATTTCATCTGGTAAATCATTCAACTCGACACATGAATATTTCATATTTGTTTTCATTTATCTGTTTTTTTGTTGCACATTCGAAAAGTCAATATTTATATATATACTTCTTTTATTAGGGATCAAACAGACTAGGCAAATTGAAATTGAATTAAGCAATTAGATTCGCGTTGCTACGTAGAAACAGCAATTATATTGGTTAATTCAATATCAATTCGCCTAGTCTCTCTTTGACTTCTTATTCAATTTGACTGATATCGTCAACAAGAACAATAACAATATATTTTTTTTTCCAATGAACGAAATTGATAATGATTGAATGAATTCATAACGAGGATGAATGTTTTTATTTCTCTTTTCTCATTTGTTTAATATATGGTCCAAAACAGACTGAAAAAAAAAATCAAATAAAGAAATGTGATTAGTCTAATTCCGACTTAAATCATCTTTCTTTTTAGACAATTTATTCTTTAATTCAGTGTAATTCACTTTATGTATTTTAATCTTGAAGTGCCTATGTCATATGATGAAGATGAACAATTTTCGAATTAATCTTATGTGATCATCATTTCTTTGATTTCCTTCTGAATTGCTTTCCTAATATTATGAATTTTAATAACTGACAATTATACCTTTTATAGAGCAGATGAAGGGTGTG